AGCCCCAGTTGCTAACTTTTATGGAGAGTTTATATAAATATAATTCATATAAATTTGGATTTCTGGATTCTTTGGGAAAATACAGGAGTCTGGTCACTCCATTCTCTGAAGGCTATCAAAAGTTCTGGCAGAAGAGCTGCTACCTGGGTGTAGTAAATGCTGCTGGGCCTGGTCTCTGAATCTTTGAAGTCCCCCATTCAGCCTTTTAAAGCATAGGAGCATGCAGGACATGCCCTCTCCCAGGCAAGGAATCCTCTCGCAGGGATGCATATAGAGAAGGAAGAAAAAGCCATTCAATGGCTTGTTAATGAAAGGGCTCCACTTTGAACCACACTAATTTCAAAATACAAACAAGAAAAGAGAACATTAAAAAAAAAAAACCACCTCAAAGAGCTTCATCCCAGAGCATAAAAATAGTTGATTTTATTGAGAGAATATTGGAAGTGAGACCCTAAAATAAAAGTTGTGATTGTTCTACCCGTTCAGGTAACCATGGATACCATCTAAAAAGGAATCCATATGGTACTCAGAGTTAAATTCCACCAAAAACCTAATAAAACAGTAGGCACAGATTGCAATAGTTATAAACTAGGAAACACAGTTTGCCAAAAGGAACAATAGAAAAGGAAACTATCTCCTTATTTGAAAAAAATGTGACTCTAACATGAGCCTTTATGGCAAAGATCTGAAGTGTTTTCACTATCAGCTGTCTAGCCACTGGTAGCTTGCTCTTGCTTTAGTCAATAAGTTCCCACCCTCGTTCGTGCAAGCAACCCTTAGTCAGTGGATCACACGCAAAAACTCTCAAAACAACAATAACAAAAAAATATGAAAGTAGAAGGCCTTGTTGGAAAGAATGGATGCAGTGTGATGGGAGGAGGATGGGAGGGGGACGGGAGGGGAAAATGATCAAAATACATTATATGCATGTCTGAAATTGTCAAAGAATAAAAAAAAATTTAAAAGAATCTTGAATAAAAAAATTGTGACTAAAAGATTATTAAACAACAGCAAGAGTTTCAAAGTGGACTGAAAGATGCCAGAATGGGGACCAAATGTAATAAATGTGACAAAACCAAATTCAGGAACGTAGGGGATGGTGCTGAGGGAAAAATACTGACTTGAGAAGAGACAAAGATACATAACAGGAGAAAAACAATGGACAACATGGAGTCAATATCCTATCGATAGAACAAGTTTTCCGAAGCAAAAGGACACAGTAAGTGGATCAAAAAAATGCTTGAGGGCTGGAGAGATGGCTCAGCAGTTAAGTGCACTGATTGCTCTTTGCAGATGACCCTGGTTCAGTTCCCAGCAACACATGGCAGCTAACAACTGTCTGTAACTCCAGTTCCGGGGGATCCAATGCTCTCTTCTGACCTCCACAGGCGTGGTACACCTATGTACATGCAAGCAATACACTCAACATGTAAAATAAAAATAATAAATAAAATATATTTTTTAATGACTTAAAAAACCACTGTAAAAATGCTTGAAAATAAACTCTGGCATTTTTAGATTAAATGGTGTACTGTGTTCTAGGGAAAATGATTCCAAATTAATAAAGTTAATCATTGCAGGATAGGAGGGGGACATTCCTGTAGGTGCCAGGAAATGTAAACCGTCAGAGGGGGAGAGGGCCATACTGGCTTTCTTAGCTGTCCTGTCTGCCAGGTCATTACCTGTAGTTATGGAATTGGTGAGAGGCTGATGCCCCCTACAGTGGACCACAGCCACCTTAGTTGGGAGGTAGGAGGCCCCCAGGAGTTTGAGAATTAAAGGGCCATTGGTTAAGGGAGTCCCTTTGGTTGTTAGGAGACCCCTTTCCTTCCATATTGAATGCATACTTAGAATCTGTGAAAATATTAACTGTCTGCCCCTTGGCTAGAGTTAGGGCTCTGGTGAGTGCCACAAGTTCGGCCTTTTGTGATGTGGTTCCAGGTGGCAGTGGCCCCATCTTGATGACATCAGTGAGAGACACTATGGTATACCCTGCCCTGCGAGACCCCATAGGAGTGAGGGTTGAGCTCCCATCCACAAACCGAGTCAGGGTTGGGTTTGGTAGATGTTCTAGGGGGTCCTCGTAGGAGAGTTCTTGTAAAGTCCCTAAGCATGAGTGAGTGAGTGGTTCATTGGAAGGGAGGAGGGAGGCTGGATTGAGAAAAGGGCAGGAGTCAAAGGTGAGTGAGGGGTATTCAAGAAAGATGACATGAAAAAGTTATAGTTTGGAGGGGGCTAAGTTGGCAAGGGACGTGTGGTTAGTAAATCTTTAAGTTGGTGGGGTGAGAGGCAGTGATGAGCTGACCCAAAGTGAGTTTGAGTCCCTTCTGGGCCAGAAAGGCAGTGGTAGCCAGAGCGCGGAGACACAATTGCCATCCCCAAATGATGGTGTATAGTTGTTTGGAGAGGTAAGCCACTGGAGCAAAAGTAGGTCCCTTCATTTGTCCCAGGACCCCCAATGCCAAGCCCCTGTTTTTAGTCATATAGAGGAGGAATGGAGATCCCAAGTCGGGAAGAGCCAGGGCCAGTGCCTCTAAGTGGGCTTTCTGGATAGTGTGGAAAGCTGTTATTATGGGTCCTAGAGGCTCAATAGGCTCAAGGGAATACCCTTTGGAGGCTTCATAGAGTGGTTTTGCCAGGAGGGCAAAATTAGGAATCCAAGTGTGTAGTTATCCTGCAATGCCTAGGAAAGACAGGATTTCCTCCTTGGTGGTGGGGGCCTTAAAGACCTTAGGTAGTTTGTCCTGTCTATAGTTAGGTGGCAGGAGGTAGGTGTGAGAAAGAACCCCAGGCATCTAACCTGGGGAGGGAAAGTTGTGCTTTGGCTGGAGATACTCTATATCCCTTGTCCCCCAGAAAATTGAGTAGTTTCATTATGTGAGTCCTGGAGATCAAGAGGGATGGAGAGCATAGAAGCAGGTCATCTACATACTGTAGGATAGTGGAAGGATTAAGGTCTAGGAAGGTTTGGGCTAGGGCTTGTCCAAAGAGGTGAGGGCTATCTCAAAATCCCTGGGGTAGGACTGTCCAGGTCAGTTGTGAAGCCATCCCAGTGTCAGGGTCTTCTCATGTGAATGCAAAGAAGTTTTGAGAGTTAGAATGTAAGGGTATTGAGAAGAAAGCATCTTTTTGTTTTTTTTTTTTTTTTTTTTTTGGAGACTGGGTCTCCCTGTAGCCCCAGCTGTCCTGGAACTCACTATGTAGACCAGGCTGGCCCGGTACACACAGAGATCCACCTGCCTCTGCCTCCCAAGTGCTGGGATTAAAGGTGTGTGCCACCACACCTGGCATGAAGAAAGCATCTTTAAGGTCTAGGACAGTAAAGTGTGTGGTGGAGGAGGGAATATAGGAAAGAAGAGTATAGGGGTTGGGGACAACAGGGTGAATGGGGACAACTGCTGAATTGATGAGATGGAGATCCTGGACCAACTAGTAAGAGCCATCAGGCTTGAGGACCGGAAGAATGGGGTTGGGGGTGTTATAGGGTGAGTGTGCAGGTTTAAGGAGGGTAGCCCTCATAAGTCTTTGGATTATGGGCTTAAGTCCATGGCAGTGTTTTGAGTGCAATTGGATATTGGGCCTGTTGGGGAATAGGGAGGGTCTTTCAAAAGAGATGCGGATAGGAGTGTGATGAGAAGCTAGTCCCAAAGCTGAGGTGTCCCAGACCTTGGGATCAACCTTGGAAGGAGGAAGTGGTCATGACCTGGCTTTAAGAGGGAGAGGCACAGGAGAAAGGAGGAAGAATGTGGAGAAGGGAAGGGAAATAGAGTTTTTGCATGAGGTCCCTGCCAAGCCATGTAACTGGACATGTAGGCATAATCAGAAAAGAGTGAGCTAAAGGCACCTTCCAGAATATGCAGGATAAGTGTCCTGTAGATTTGCGGGTGTGGGGCTTCCCATCAACCCCCACCACAGGGATCTGTGAGGGGAAAACTTTACCAGAGTAGGAAGGAAGAACAGACCATGAAGCACTAGTGTCCAGAACAAAACAGTCTTACCTGCCACCTTAGTTACCCTAGGCTCTTCCGTGGCGATGGTCATTGAAGAGGTGGATGCTGGGGAGCCAGGGCCAGAAGGTCGTTCAGTGAACCCTGTGAAATGGACTGGGTCTGGGAAGTGAGTGGCCTACCTTGATGTTGCAAAGAAGGACAGTTGGCCTTCCAGTGACCCAGTTGCCCACATTGGGGACAGGGTCCACAAGGTGGTTGTGGGTTGGGGCATTGCTTTGCCCAGTGTCCAATGAGTCTGCACTTGAAGCAGGGTCCTGGCGGAGGTTATTGGGCTCCATTAGCATCAGTAGGCTTCTTTGGAGGAGCCCTCAGGGCAGCAGCCATGAACTGTGTGCTGGATAGCTTTAGTGTCAACTTGACACACCTGGGTTGAGGGAGCCTCAGTTGGGGAATTGCCTCCATTGGACTGGCCTGTGGCCATGTCTGTGGGGCATTTTCTTGATTGTTGAGTGATGAGGGAGGGCCCAGCCCCCTGTGGGTAGTGGCACCCCTGGGCAGGTGGGCCTGTGTTGGATAAGAGAGCAGGCTGAGCAGGGGCCAGGGGAGCAAGCCAGTAAGCAGCGTTCCTCCATGGCCTGTGCTCCAGCTTCTGCTTCCAGGTTCCTGCCCAGAGTTCCTACCTTGGGCTCCCTGATGAACTGCAGCCTGGGAGATGTAAGCTGAATAAACCCTTTCCTCCCCAAGTTGGTATTGGTCAGAGTGTTTTGTCATAGCAATGGAGAACAAACTAGGACAAGCTGGTACTTTTGTTTGGACATGGTAAGCTTGTCATCCCTCTCCTGTTCCTCTTGATTGTTAAAGACTTTAAATGCCAGGTCTAAAAGATCTCCCACTGGGGTTTCATGGCTCTTGATTAACTGTTTAAGTTTTCTCCTGATGTCTGGGGCTGATTGTAAAATGAAGTGGTGGTTGAGCATAAGTCGCCTTTCCTGGAATCTGGGTCATATTTAGTATGTTGAAGTAAGGCGTCAGTAAGTCCATGAACTGAGCTGGGTTCTCAGTGGGGCCCTACGTAATGAGTGTAAGCTTTTCAAGTTAATCACCTTAGGAGGTGAGGCCCATTGAAGCCCTATGAGAAGGCAGGTAATCATGTGGTCCCTGAATGTTTTACCTGGGGAAAGTCCATCCTGGTTCCCTTGTGGAAGCTGGTAATCCCATCCCAGATCTTGCAGGGGGAACTGCTGTAGTCCCAAGAGGATGGGCTTGGTTAGTGGAGTGGAGCTCATTAGTGTACTCCTGGGCAGCCATCCTAACCCTATGTCTTTTCTCTGGGGTCAGAGTAGACTGGAGAATCATGAAAAGGTCATGCCAAGTTAGGTCATAGCTGCGGGTGATATACTTAAATTCTTGAATAAAGTGAGGGGGTAGTAGAAAAGAAGCCTATTCTACACTTGATCTGGGACAGGCCACCAAGGGAGAAAGGGACATGAACCTTAACCTCCCCTTCTCCTCCTACCACCTCCCGGAGGGGAAAGATGCCACGGGTAGGAGGGCGAGACTGGGTATGGGAGCAGGTGTGGTTTGACACTGGAGAGGGGTTGGGAAGGGGAGGTTGGGGAGGAGGCCCAAGTGGAGAAAATGGGAGGGGTGTCCTGTCCATGAGGGGATCCAGGGGTACTGGGGACCAGTCTGGAGCAGGGGCTGGGGTAGGGGTAGAAGAGACAAATGGGTTCTTTGGGGTGGGAGAGAGTATGTGGTGTTTAGTAAGGAGTTGTTTAAGATTGTAGATTTCTGGGCATGGTGGCGCATGCCTTTAATCCCAGCACTTGGGAGGCAGAGGCAGGTGGATCTCTGTGAGTTCAAGGCCAGCCTGGTCTACATAGTGAGTTCCAGGACAGCTGAGGCTACAGGAAGACCCTGTCTGAAAAATGTCGCGAGCCGGGACTCTGTCCAGCAGAGTCCAGGAAAGACGACACAGACACCAAGGTGAGTGAGGTTCAAGCTTCTGTTTCTCTTTCTTCCTTTATTCTCTCTTATTATTTCTCATGTTCTCTTCACTATGATGCTGTCTCTCTGTTGCTGTGTCCTTATGATGCTGTGTTTCCATGATGCTGTGTTCCCTCCTATTACACACTTCAGCTCTTTATATAGCGTTTCCAACAGCCCTCCACCTCCCCTTCCCCTCCTACCACCTCCTGGAGGGGAAAGATGCCACAGGTAGGGGGCCAAGACTGGGTATGGGAGCAGGTGTGGTTTGACAGTGGAGAGGGGTTGGGAAGGGGAGGTTGGGGAGGAGGCCCAAGAGGGGGAAATGGGAGGGGTGTCCTGTCCATGAGGGGGTCCAGGGGTACTGGGGACCGGTCTGGAGCAGGGGCTGGGG